GGGGGGAAAAAAAAAAAAAAAAAAGAAGAAAATAACCCCATGACTTGAGCATCCAGCTATTTGTTAGAGCGAGGGAGAGGGCTTAGATTCCTGGAGATTAATTAGCAGACGCAGAACATTGCCCCAAGGTAGGTCTGAACGTCGGCCCAAAAGAGCTCTGCATCCAAATTCTGCAGCTGGCCTTTATTTTGTATTTCCTTTCCTAAAATATATATATATATATTAAAAAAAAAAGGAGATGAGCCCTCAGTACCCTCAGTCCTCAGCTGGAGAACCCTTGGTTTCAATAGGAATCACCCTTTGGAGATAAAAGTTGGATATCTTGGGTTTTCCATTTAAATCAGAGGGTTTGTGGCATGGCTCATCCCAGAATCCCATCCCAAACCTGCCCAACCAGTGAGAAAAGGGTCTCAGGGAGCTTTGTTCGGGACAAAGAGCCAAGAAACAAGGATTTGCTCCGCAATTGCCAACAGGGAAGCTCAGGCACGGCAAATTCAAGCCCTCCTCCTCCAGGCCTTCTCCCCTTCCTATGAGAAAAAGGCTGTTCCCACTTGAAATTCCATGTTTTGCTACCAAAAGCAGCCAAGGCAGGGTATGGGAATCCGCAGGGAAGCAGAGAGGGGCATTGGGAGAGACCCCGAATGGCTCGTGCAGGGATGGAAAAACCTTCCCAAATCCCATCCCTGCTCTCCAGGCACCAGCTCCTTGGGAATAAAGACCTCCAGCCTCCCCAGGCTTGGTTTTACACCCAGAATTACCTAAGCAAGGCTGGAGCCCGGTGCCAGATCCGAGCATCTTCAGGCATCTCCAAAATTCAAGCAGAGCTGAGAAAACAAGCACAGAGGGCACTGAAAGCCAAGGATGGGAGAGGAAAGGCTGGCACACCCAATCGTTTTCTCCAGGGGGGGGACACAATAGGCACTTCACAGCGAAAGCACTGAATTAGTAATTAATTAACCCTCATGACATCCCAGGGCAGAGGACGGCAACCCCATCCAAGCCTTTTGCCAAGGGATCCTGATTTTAAATCGGCCAAGCTGCCCATCCTGGACCTCCTGGGAGGGGGCGATGACAAAGCCGGGCTCTGCGTGGTGTTTTTTTTCCAGCAACAAGCCCCCAGCCAACCTTGCAAACAGAGCCTGTGACCTAGGAAAGAAGCCCTAGGAAAGAAGGAAAAGTAGGAAACAGCCTACGGATATGCTTGTTTTTCCCCTTGCATTCCAGCAGCCAGCCAAAAAGAAGGAAGGAAAGAAAGGAAGAAGGGAGGAAGGGAGGAAGGGAGGAAGGGAGGAAGGGAGGAAGGGAGGAAGGGAGGAAGGGAGGAAGGGAGGAAGGGAGGAAGGGAGGAAGGGAGGAAGGGAGGAAGGGAGGGAAGGAAGAAGGGAAGGAAGAAGGGAAGGAAGAAGGGAGGGAAGAAGGGAGGGAAGAAGGGAGGGAAGAAGGGGAGAAAGAAGGAGAGAAAGAAGGGGAGAAAGAAGGGGAGAAGGAAGGAAGGAAGGACAGAAAGAGAGGGAGAAAGAGAGGGAGAAAGAGAGGGAGAAAGAGAGGGAGAAAGAGAGGGAGAAAGAGAGGGAGAAAGAGAACATTAATCTTAATTTTCTTGTTATTCAGCGCCAGCTTTGTCAAGAGAGAAAAAGTTTCTTTCCATACAAAGAATGATGGTTTGCATAGTGTTTGAAAGATATCCTTTAGTCAAGCATAAGTAAACACAAGACACTATTTAAAAGAATAATTTACGGTAAGTTAAATCACAGTTTCTCTTTGGTAGCAATCGTGGGGAAGGATTGATAGGGTAGTATACCCTTTGGGATAGTGGACTTGGGACAATGATTGTGCCTTAAGTGAAGGTGGGATCTCGTCCTCCCTCACTGGCATGGCCACTGCACCTTCCTATACTGTCTGTCCTTACTAAGGAAAAATAAACTGACAGAAAATAGGTAGTGCGCTGAAACTAAGAGGTGCAAAACGAGGATGAAGAAATAAAGGTAAGTATTTGGAGGTGGAGTGGAAGAAAAGAGCCCAGGGAAGGAGGAGAATAAGACTAGGGGAGTTGGACCAGATGGTCTCTAGAGGTCCCAACTCTGACAATTCCGTGATTCCGTGACAAAAGAGGCCATGATAGGAAGGAATAAGGAAATAAGGAATAGGAAAGGAAAGAAGGAGGGAAGGAGGGAGGGAAAGGAGGGAGGAAAGGAGGGAGGAAAGGAGGGAGGGAAGAAGGGAAGAAGGGAAGAAGGGAAGAAGGGAAGAAGGGAAGAAGGGAAGAAAGGAAGAAGGGAGGGAAGAAGGGAAGAAGGAAGGGAAGAAGGGAAGAAGGGAAGAAGGAAGGGAAGAAGGGAAGAAAGGAAGAAAGAAAGAAAGGAAGAAAGAAAGAAAGGAAGAAAGAAAGAAAGGAAGAAAGAAAGAAAGGAAGAAAGAAAGAAAGGAAGAAGGAAGGGAAAAAGGAAAGAAGGAAGGAGAGAAAGAAAGAAAGAAAGGAGGAGAGAAAGAAAGAAAGAAAGAAGGAGAGAAAGAAGGAGACAAAGAAGGAAAGAAAGAAGGAAAGAAAGAAAGGAGGAAAGAAGGAAAGAAGGAAAGGAAAAGGAGTGATTCCTCCCCGTTGGTTGGGGTTTGTGGTTTGTTTTTTTTTTTGCCACCGCTATTCCCCGCTCTGAGGTAGACGTCGATGGGGTGGGGATGGACCACTGGAGAGTGGTTAATGTGTCTGGCATCCCGTCCATCCCGCCCCCGGCTCAGCACTGCCGTAGCAGGCAGGCGGCGGTGGCCGGCGGTGGCCCCGGCCAACTGCATTTCTCCGGGGCGGTGATTTTACCGGCGTAATCGATGCAGGAGGCGTTGCGCGTCCGCACGCCCTCCCCGCACGTTTGGGAGCAAGGGGACCAAGGACCCAGGCGCCAGAGAGGGCAGGGGACATCTCCGCAGGGCTTGATGTCCTCCGGTTTGAGGGCTCTGTCGCAGGTGGAGGAGGGTTGACCCTCCACGTCCCGGCACTCCACCGTCCGTCTCTGCCAGCCGGAGCCACACGTCTTGGAGCACTCGGACCAGTCGCCCAAGACCCACTGGGAGGTCAACATGGGTCGGATGACGTTGGCCGACTTCTTCTCTTTCCCCTTCTGCTTGCTGAAGGGGACGTCCTTGGGGATGAAGAAGGTGTACTTGACTTTGGGTGGGAAGACCTCGCTGGCGATGGTCAACAGCTGGACGGTCAGGGGTTCCGGGAGCTGTCGGAAGCTCTGCAGCCTCTCCAGGGTCGTCATGGAGCCGCTGTATTTCAGGATGGTGCCCTTGATGAGGATGTCCTGCTCCATGGCCGAGATGGCGAAGTCCCCGTTCAGCAGGTACTTGCCCTCAAGGGTCCTCAGGGCCAGGTAATTCCCGTCGTGACGGACCCCGCGGTGGCTGCGCTGTTTGATGTCGATGTTGGTTGCCCCGGCGGGGATGGTGACGATGTCGTTGTAGCCATATCTGCAGGGGGCAAAGGGGGACAGTCATTTTTCTGGGCTAATTAAGAGGAGACCCATGAAAAAGGTAGAACTTGGTGAGTGGGATCGTGGCTCTGAAGCCATCTCTCTGTAACCCAGAGCGCTCAAGAGCTGGAAATATTCCAGTTGTGCCAGATGTGTGCTCAGCTGGAAGATTTTGCACACAAAAATGAGCACCACGATCAAAAAGAGAGCCCAACGGTTACCAGCCTTGGTGGGAAATGCCCCTCACCCCCTTTCTTTTGGAATGGGTGAAGACTAAAAGCCTGGCTCTGCCCAGTGATGCTGTCACCGGTGAGGCTGAAGGACAGCATCAGATACCCTTCTTGACATATCCTTCGTATCATATCATGATATCGTGTCCATCACGATATGATATCCATCAGATATCATCTCATCAAGGATAGATATAGAGCAGCTGGACAGGAGATAGTTGGGGTGCTGCTGGCCTCATACACACACGGACATTGGTGCCAGATGGTGCTGCTAAAACCACATCAGTAGTTAAACAGTTAACTCAACAGACATCCCATATTGTAGATGACTCGGTATCAACTCGATAGCCGTTCCTAGTAGACAGTACGTTCCACGGCAGTAATATCATGGGTGGGT